GGGGTAGCCTTGTCGGAATAGGTGTGGGGTTGTTGCAGTAGGTGTGTTACTAGGGGTGGGCTTTGAGTTTTTGAAAGTCCTTGCCAGGCCCAGTGTCTTTCTACTGCCTACAGACCAAGATGTAACGTCTTCAGATACTGGGCCAGACATGGTGGTGTCCTTTAATCCCAGCACTGGGGAGGCAGAGGGAGGTTGGATTTCTGTGAATTCAGGCTAGCCTCGTCTAAATAGTGAGTTTCAGGACAGCCAGGACTATGTAGAGAGACCTATTTTTTGTTTGTTTGTTTTTTTTTTTAATCCCATAGCTACTACTCCAGTGTCATACCTGTTTACTTCCCACCCTGATGGTCACAGAGTAGGTCTCTAAAATTGTAACCAGACAATCCTCCCAATGAAATGCCTTTTTAAAAAAATATATGTATATATTCATATACATACACACACATATGTGTGTGTGTGTGTGTATATATATATATGAGTTACCTTAGTCATGATGTCTCTTCACAGCAATAGCAGAGTAACTAAGACAGAGACCTTGTTGTAGAAAATATGTCACTAGGCTCTGAGGTTTTAAAAAGCCCACACTATTCCCTGTTTAGCTCGTGCTCTCTCTGCCTCCTGCTTTTGGATCAAGATGTGAACGCTCAGCCATTCCTGTTGCCATGCCTTCACTCAACATCACGGACTTTAATCCTCTGAAACAGTAAGCCCAATGAAATACTTTTTAAAAAAGAATGAGTTTCCTTGGTCATTGTGTTCCACTGTGCACGTTGTGTAGCAACATAAAAGTAACGTAAGATGCCCTCTGCCGCCAGGGTTTGGGGCGATGCACCCACCTGACTCCAGCTTTTCTGTACGTGTGTCTGTCCTTTCTTCATTCTCATATCATCCCTTGTCAGGGTTTCAGACCCAAACTGGGCAGGATGAGTGAGACACCCTTGGATTCCCTTTGTCCTAAGTCTGTGTTTCACCTCCCTATCTCCATTTTTGTCGTCATTTTTTTCTGTCCCCAATATCACTGTCCTCTCTTCCACACTTTCCCTCTCATGTGAGTGTCCTTATGCCCTAAAGGTGTTTCTCCTCTGTCCATCTTTTTTTTTTTTTTATTAATTACACTTTATTCATTTTGTATCCCCCCATAAGCCCCTCCCTCCTCCCCTCCTCTGTCCATCTTATTACTGACACAACTATATCCCCTCTGGTCAGAACTTCTTCTCTTTCCTCTGTCCTCATTTATCTCTTTCAGTCTTCTTCTCTTTCGGTCCTTATGCCATGACTATCTCAGAGGGCTGGGGATGCAGCCAACTTAGCTGGACGAGCAGTCCTCTGACTTTGCATGGTGCCTAATTAGAGATAGGCATGAACTATGCTGTATCTGACTTGGGGTAGGCTGGGAGGTAGCATGGGTATCAGGAGAGAAATTAGCTCTATGCCTCTCTACTTAAATGTATTAAGTAAGTGGATGTTTGTGGAGCTTATAGGCCTGCCTGAGCATCTTCAGCAACAAGGACTCTTGAAACCTCATATTCAAAACTATGTTGTATTTGGCCCTGGCCATATGGTTTTAGTGATTCTTGTTAAAACATGACACAGGTGTCAACTCAATTGAATTTCACTGAGAGTTGACATTAATCTTCTTCTCCATGCACCTCTGTGTTGGGGGATGGTCTTCAGCACTGTGTGTTCAGATGCTTATTTCTGTGCCAAGAGATCTGGTTGCAGTCCAGACATGAGCATTGTCATTTCTATGAAGAATCTGCTGTCTCAATGTTGTGTAAACACTGTGCTTCATCATATCTGATTGGTTAATAAAGAAGTTGATCAGCCAATATCTGGGCAGTGAGGACAGGAGCTAGGGCTTCCATCCCAGTCAAGGGGTCTCAGGTAGGGAACAGAAGAAGAGGAAAGGAAGAAGGTAGAGAGCAGAGAAAGTCACCATGGGAGCTGCCACAGGGAGCTGCCATGAGGTAGCCAGACTAGCAAAACTGGGTTAAAATATATGGTTATAGTGCTTAAAGCTTGTTGAATAAATTAATAGATCTGTGTCAATTACTTGAGAGCTAGAATGTGTAATAGAAAATATCACTACACTGTTTTTACTCCTCTGGCTCATTATCTGCAGAAGAGCCAATCATTATGGTGCTAAGGACTGCTTTTTCTCTGACTTGTGGTTCAGAGAGGGTAGTCTAGAAGGTTACTCTGCACAGCTTTGAGCCTCCAGGTAAGTATATAAGTAGTACTTGTGTCCTGGAGGACTTGGGGGAAGCCAGAGGCAGGTATGAGTCATCACTCCCCGTTCCCAGGGCCTTCCTCAGGGGCTCAGATTAATCCAAGATTCATTTCTTCAAGCCTTTCCAGTTCCACATACTGATCAAGGCCATCTTCCTTTACCAAGAGATGGCACCCCAGGCCCTCCCATTCTTCTCTGGCCTTCCCTGTTTTATAGAAAGCTGCAGAGCTTAAACATTACCCAAGTGTTTACATTTGAGGTGCTACACTACCTGGCCTCAGCCCTTCCTTCATTTTGTATTTCCTGCTCCTGTGGTGGTTACAGCCCGTATCTGCGCTGCTTTGGGAGCTCCTGTGAGCTTGAAATGGGGTGCTCAGGGGTAAGAAGCATCTCCATCAGGATAGGAGCATGCAGAGAAGAGGTGACTGCTATTTATGTTTTCAGAATTCACATGTAAGCAAGTGATCTCAAAATCAGGTCTGCATTCCCACCTACAAACACACTATAAAGAACAACTATTTTGTGCCAGTGGTATACCCAATATGTATCAGTGAATAAGACAAAAAATCCCAACTTTTACAGAGCTTATTGGGAAAGAATGAAAACACATATAACTTGCTCAAAGTGACAATTGATGAGGAAAAAGGTAAAACAGGATAAGGTGGGCAGAGATTTTTGTTTGTTTCCAGACAGGGTTTCTCTGTATAGTCCTACCTGTCCTGGAACTCTCTTTCTTTGTAGACCCGGCTAGCCTCAAACTCACAGAGATCGGCCTGCCTTTGCCTCCTGAGCGCTGGGACTAAAGGTGTGCGCCACCATGCCTGGCTTAGGCAGAGATTTTTGAGTAGGTCGTTGAAGTAGGTGATGTTAGGACAGAGATAAAGATGAGAGAACAAATCTGCACTTGTCTGAATGTTCCTAGCTGAGAGAACAGTGCTGAAAAAGCCCTTAAAGCACACAGAACCTGGGGTGCTGAAGGAGCAGCAAAGTGGGTGGCGATTGGAGCAAGTGCTGAAGGCATTCAGAGAGCCAGACATGGGGAACCTTAGGGACCACAAGAGGGGCTGTGGTTTCACTCTGAGCAGTAAAGGGCCCATTTAAAAGGCCACCTAACATGTGGATTATAACTGTAGACAAATCACATGACCCATGTTGATTATGAAGTCTCTGTACTGGTCCAGAAGTTAAGATTTTTTTTTTAAAATGTACTTTTGTAAATTCTCTGAGAATGTCATGCATGCACACAGTGTGTTTCCATTATATTTGCTCTCTGCCTATCTCGCCACAGAAGTTGGGATTTTTGACCTAGGAAGGTGCAGTGTGTTCTGAGACCAAGGGAGAGGTCACTTTTGGCAGACAGCACACCTGTGGGCAAGACTGGATTTCTGAGAGAACAAGTGGTGTTGGAGAAGGACAAGGCCACTAGATGGCAAGACAATACCAAAGACAAGTTCACATAGGACATTTTTTAGTCAAGTATGTTTTCCTAGGGGGAGGTTTGGCCCCTCGAGAGCTGTTCACTTCTTTGTTAAGATGTCAGCTTGGTTGTCTACAGTTACTATACCACGTAGCTGTAGATACACAGGCACAGACACACAAATGTGTGTGCACAAACTGAATCCACTTTTTTTTTTTTTTTTTTTTTTTTGCCTTTTAAATGGGCTGGTTTAATTCAAAGTGATACAGAATTCCAAGTACAACAAAGATGAAACAGCAGGCTCTGGCCTGGGTTTTCTTTCCATTCAGAGCTGAGGTAGGAATTGCTGAACACTAGAGACAATGAGCCATTGTATTTGTTTTACTACAAAAGTTTATTACAATGTACAATAGGCTCCAGGATAACACTTCATTCTAGCTGTAGGTGGCAAAGATGTTATGGCAGGGGATCCAGATGTTTTAATGGGAATGGAAGAGGGTCACCATCATCACCTCAGGAATAGCTTACTTTCTGCCAGATTTCTTAATTCCACCTGTGGCCAGGGGCCCCTTCCCCGCGGCCTTGGCTTTCAGCTCCTCGAGTTTCTTCTGCTCCTCTTTCTGCTTCTGCTTGAAAGCCTTGTCCTCCTCATCCATCTCCTTGGCCTGCTTCTTGGGCTGTTTCAGGGGCTTCTTTTTGCCACCTTCGCGGCCAGACATGGCGCTGACAGCCCCTTCACCAGTCCCCGATCTCAAGCCCCCACATTTTTTTTTATGGTTATTTATTGAGAGAGATGGGAGTGGGAAGAGGGGGAGAGAGAGGAAGAGGCAGAAACAGAGACGGAGAAATGGGAGAGAGGGAGTAGCAGAAAGAGAGGAGAGAGAGAGAAGGAGAAACAGAGAGAGGGAGAAGCAGAAACAGAGGGAGAAGGAGAAGGAAATACGAGGTGACAGAGGACAAGTCCAAGCAGTCAGTACTGTCATTCCACCACGTGGGCACCACACTGAACTCAGGTTGTCATGCTTGGTGACAGATGCCTTTACCCGCTGAGCCATCTCCTCAGCCCCAGAACCCATGTTTGAAAGTAGGCTGTGGACCAAATTCATGTCAGCTCAGTCCAGTCTTACCTCTAGAAATGCAGACTAGGGTGGGAGGAGGAGACAGGAGTCTATAAGCTCATTAAAATTCTTAGCTTAGAGTCCTTTGCCATTTTCATTTTCCCAAAGCGGGAGGCTTCCAAGCCTTGATTTGAACTGTATTTCGTTTTTCTGTCATTTAATTATCCTACTTTGCTCCTAACTCTATTCTGGGCTTTCCAGAAGGCTGCCTGCCTACTGGGTGCAAATGAGATAAACAAGGCCCCTCCTGTCTCAGGCCAAAAGGAAAAAAAATGGAGCTTTAAGTTTACACAGAAAAATTGAAACCTACAGTCTGTACAATTTAGGTTGAAATCTTGGCCTCTGTTATTTGCATTTGACTTTATTAGCCTTAAACTATTCAGCTTGCTGGATCGACTTCCACTGACACTTGGTAAGACCAGTTTGCCACTTTATATTCATCACACTCATAACAAGAGGAGAAAAAGATGAGAAAATCAGATAATGGTAGGAAGGAAAGAAGGCAGAGCAGGAGATGATGGGAGGAAGAAAAACAATCACTCTGGCCTCCTCATTTCTCTATTACTAGTCATTGCTGCCAGCCCAGCTTTTTTCCCTGCCCTCTGTCTATCTGTCTGTCTGTCTGTCTGTCGGTGTGTATGTGTGTGTGTGTGTGTGTTGTTAAAGTTGGGGTGTGGGTGTTATGAAAATTCTAGCAATGCCAGGTGGACCACCGCCTGAGGAAGACAACAGCTGTTGCTTCCTCTAGCCTGCAGCGGGAGGGTGCAAGGGGCTGGGGAGGCAGAGGCTGGGCCTGGATTAGTGCCTACCCTTCAGAGCCAAGCCTTTCTTCCGAAGTTCCATACAGCCTCTGGATACCAACGGAAAGCCCATGGGAGAGTGCTTGCCTCCAGACGAGAGCTGATCCAAGTTCTGTAGACCTTGGATAAATAAGGGTAATAGGCTCGTTTTTCTATTTGGAGAAAGTGAAATGCTGCAATGTTGGGACCAGCTGTGGGACTCTCTTCAGGTCTTTGAATTCCCATGACCTTTCCTGGAACAGCTGTGGGTTTGGAAGAGGCAGGCCTGAGCAAAGGTTAGAATCCTTGGCTCCCAGACCTTTAGACAAGCTGGGCCCAAGGAGAGAGGGACCAGGTCCTAGGCTGAGGGGCTCAACCTGCGGGCTAAACCTTTCCCAGCTCTGCACGCCTTATTCATATCCAGAATGAGTTCCTTAGCCCGTGCTCAGGCCTGCAGTCATCTGGCAGATCTGCCCTTCTAACTCTATCTCTGACTTTTCTTCCGCTTAGTGCTTTAACTGCAGGCAGCCGTAAATTTCATAATGTTTTTTCATGCCACTTAACTTCTAACTGCCCACTGAGACTCTTCAGGGAAGCTTTCTCAGACCCTCTCAATTCAGACTATTTATCTTTGAGGTAGGATTTAATGTAACCCATGCTGGCTTGGAACTTGCTATGGAGCTGAGGATGGCCCTTGAACTCCTGATCCTCCTGCCTCCACCTCCCTAGTACAGGGATTTCAGGTGTGTCCCACGATAACCAGCACTCGGGATCAAGCCTCAGGCTTTGTCTTCTGGGTGAAAACTCTACCAACAGAGCTACAGCTGGCAGAGATGACGTCTTTCTCATCTCTGCATTCCTATATTATTGACTGACTTTAAGAAATATAGTTTTGGGAGGGGGGTGTTAAGAGCATTTGCTACTCTTCCAGAGTACCTGAATTCAGTTCCCACCACCCATAGTCTTTTTTTTTTTTTTTTTTTTTTTTTTTGAGACAGGGTTTCTCTGTAGCTTTGGCTGTCCTGGACTCACCGTGTAGACCAGGCTGGCCTTGAACTCACAGAGATCTGCCTGCCTTTTGCCTCCCAAGTGCTGGGATTACAGGCGTGCACCACCACTCCTGGCCCCTGCCCATAGTAATATTCGTGCAGCTTTCAGATGTCATCAGAGAATCTTCCCTTTTCAGTGAATGACGGTTAATACAGACCCACAACTGATCAAAGTGAGTGAAGAAGCGAGGGAGAAACGCTTAGCTCTAAATCCTACATCTATGTTACAACCTCCTCCCTGCACAGAACATCAGGGAAGATGTCAGGGAGGGCTGCTGTGAAATGGTCTGCTGCAGAGGACGGGGCTGTTGCTCTCAGGACCCCACAGCAGTAGCTGTGGTTGCCTACACAAAATCAAGTCACGACCGGTTGTGCACTCCTGTAATCACAGCACTCAGGGAGGCAGAGTTAGAGGCCAGCCTGGTCTGCAAAGGGAGTCCAGGACGGTCAGGGCCACACAGAGAAACCCTGTCTCGAAACAAACAAACAAAACAACAACAACAAACCCAAAAAATCCAAATCAAGTCAGCCAAACTTGCAGCATGTATGGAGAAGAGGCTCGCAAAGCCCCGCCCCCTACTGAGGAGCTACTGGCAGCTGCTGGTTGCTGGATGAAAGTCAGTTTTCTTCAGGGCTGTAGCCCCTGGTGGGGTTCCCACTCTCCCAGATGTCCCTCCACCCACGGTTGAATGGCACCAACTAGACTCAAATAGATTATTATTTTTTTAAAGGACATGGTGTTGGGATAGGGGCAAGGCAAAGGCAGTCAAGGAAGAGTTAAAGGGGGAAGTAAGAGTAAGGATGGTCTCAATGCATGTATGAAATCTTCCAAGAATAAATTAAGACCTATTTTTAAAAAATTCTGCCATATCATCACTGGCAGCTTTGTGGAGATGAATCCAGAGGAGGCTCTGGGTTGGCGGCACAGGGATGTAGATTTGTCATTAGGTCTGCTTAGGGACTAAATGAGGCTCTAAAAATGACAAAAGTAGATCAATGTAGAACCTAGGGGAGGTACTAAAAGGTATGCACTTACCTGTTTACGTACTGTCTAATAATAATTTAAAGGCGTTTTTATGTTTATTGTACTGCACCATTCTCACAGCTTTCTGAGCTAAGGAAAACGTTGTTTCATCTAACAACTAAGGAAGGCATTGTCTCATCTAACAGAAGATGAGACATTAAGGGAACCTCTTCCTCTCTAATGTGCCTCTTTGCAATCTTGTGTGCACAGGTGGTGGAGAAACTGGAAAGGGGTAAAGTGAGGAATGCAAAGAATAGTAGCTCAGAGGGACTAGGGGTGAGGTAGCATGGCTGAAGCTGGGATTACAGACTTTGTGACGGATATTCTCAAAACAGATTTAATCAGCCAGGCCTAGGCAGCCTGAAGGACAGCCACTTTGCCTTCTGTGGCTCTGAATTTATTCTCACTTGTCTGAATTATGCACAGTCCTGGCGGGAGGTGTTCTAGGCAGAGACTTCTGCAGTGAGACCTCAGGACGCTCCTCATATGAACTAGCTATGAGATGAGTGAGGCAAGAGGGTAGCAATAGCATTCCAAGTAGAGGAGACAGCACAAGGGCATGGGCGTGGGATGCCCAACAAGGTGGGAATCTAGCAGGGGTGTAAATGCAGATATAGACACAGGCAAGAGCAGGATCATGGCAGTATTATGTCCCGTGAGATGCTGACTGGATTATATAATATAAGAAACATGAAACTCTTGCGAAGGGTTAAAACAAAACAGGCAGTTAAATTTAAAAAAAATTAATGTCTACAAATATTTTGTCTTCACAAATGTATGTATTATCACCTGCATGCCTAGTAGCCACAGAGTCCAGAAGAGTATATCTGAGCCCTCAGAACTGGAGTTATAGCTGGTTGTGAGCCACCAGGTGAATGCTGAGAACTGACTCGGGTCTTCTGGGAGAGCAGCTCCCAGGTTAAGAGTGCTCTTAACCACTGAGCCACCTCCCCAGCACCATGGGAACTAATTTCTTTTTCAGTAGCTGAATGAAAGACACTGAGACTTAGTGGAGTTAAGAGGAGAAGCTGAGCTGGGAAAGAAGGGTGCATGGGAGGGACTGATTTGGGGAGAATTTTAATTCAGACTCTGAGGGCTGCATGGCTTGAAGATTCATTGTCTACCGAGTAGTCGTCATGGGCCAAGCCCTGGGCAAAAGCTTGTGATTTACATTGTAATGAATCCTAATAACCACTATGAGGAATAATGAACTATCCTCATGAGCAGATGAAGCAGAAGCTTGGGAAACTTTTTTTTTTTTTTCTTTTTTCCCAGACAGGGTTTCTCTGTGTGTAGCCTTGGCTGTCCTGAACTCACTTTGTAGACCAGGCTGGCCTCAAACTCACAGAAATCTCCCTGCCTCTGCCTCCCTGCTAGCTTGGGAAACTAAGAGTGATGGCCTATCTCATATAAAACACGGGGCCAGGACTCAAGCCTTGCCTTTTACCATCATGCCTTATAATGGCGATGAAGGAGCCTCTCACAGAAAACTGAGGAAGCATATAACACAACCATGATGGTTAGTTAGTGCCAAAGTCAACTTAATAGAGCCTAGAATCACCTGGAGGTGGATGAGATTTCTGTGCTTGCTTTTGGGGCACAATCCTGATTGCAATCATGGACGTGGGAAAACTCAGCCTGGAAGCACTGTTTCCCGGCTTGGATTCTGGACTGTATGAATGGAGAAAAGGGACTGAGCAACACGTGCTCATCCATATCATCTGCTTGCTCACTGCACATTCAAGGGGACCAGCTGCTTCAAGGTCCTGTTGCTTTGAACTCCCCACCCGGTGGGCTATCCTTGGTATGTGAGCAAGAATAAACCCTTCTCCCTTCAGTTGCTTTTGTCAAAGCTTTTTATCACAGCAGCAGGAAAATACAGACACAAGAGAAATGAGAAGAATAAGTTTTGGACTCTAGTCTGTGCAGCCAGAAAGAACAAGCCCAGCGGAGGCTGCTAATGAGGGACCACGAAAAGAATACCAATATGCCTCTGAGACTCACTCCTCCTTCTCCTGAGCCCCACAGTGAGCCCCAGAGCTCGAGTGGTCTGCCTTCTGTCTCCCTCTTCTGCTGCTGAAGGTGAAAAGGTTCTCCTCAGAGCAAGGCCAAGAAGCTGGGCAGTGGGATACATATACCTGTGTTTTCAGTACTCAAGGGGATGAGGACAGGAGGATAACTAACTTGAGGCCAGCCTGAGATTCACAGTGAGAGCCGGTCACAAGTAAACAAATACCTGCAGGAAGACAAGGCTGAAAGGTCTGTGGGACCAAGGGCCAGAGCTGGAAGGTTCCTTGAAGCAGGCTTGTTGACTCTGATGAAGATCCAGATATTTGATTAAAAAGTTGAGGAATTTAGCCCTTTCCTTAGCAGGGCGCACTACCAGACTAGCCAATTCAAGAATCTGATCAGGCCAGGTGGTTTGCATTCTCTCAGCCCTCAGATAACGCTATCAGAGCCAACCTGCCATGCTCAGAGCTTCAGAGCCAGCACCCAGAGATCTCCAGCAGTGCCCTGAATTGTGGGTACTGGCACAGTCAGCTGGGCACTGAGGAGCAGGACTGTGGGAAATCTTGGAGGTTCTCTGTTCTCAGTCCGTTGCTTTGGTGGGTGGCGTGGTGCACATGGCCCCCGGGGGCTTTTAAGTGGGGTAAGACGTTGGTGGACCATTGATCAAAGGTAAACACTTTGTTCTTCAGAAAAAAAGATGGTTCTTTCCTTCCCACTTTGCTAAAAGCAGGACCAGTGGGCCAGAGCAGACATCAAAGAAGGCCCAGGAACTCAGAGATTTCTGGCCAGGAGGTTGGAACTAAGTGTTCTGAGGCGACCAGACAGCGATGTCTCTTTCCTCCTCCCCACCTAACCACAAAGCACAGGGCTTCTCAACCCGGGGCGGGGGACTCCCTCCTTCCATCCTGGTCTTCATCTAAAACCCTTTTTAGTCTCACTCCACCTCTAGGCTGTAAGTGGCCTGAAGCGGGGCAAATCCCTGCCTCCCCACCCACACCTTCCCCAAGTGTCTTCAGTTCCTTCCTACAGAGCTGTCTGTGACTGCCGAGGCAGCCTGTTCTCCTTCTGTATCCACCATAAGGAGTGCCGGGAAACGGGGCATCCGGAGGCATCTATCCCCAAGGACCAGCTGGACCTCCGATTCTGAGCTGCAGCCCTAGGACTGGGTGAGACTGAGGCTCAGTGGTGAACCAAGGGAAGAGAGCTGGCTGTATATGGCTGGTTGAAGGGGTGGCCTTGAGCAGGTGCCTCGTCTTTCCAGGGTGTCAGAATTGGTAAGGGACTGAGGATAGGGGTGGCACAGAGGGAAAGCTAGAGCATAGTGGGGACTCTTGGAAGGGTTGACAGTCTCTTTAAGGCCTAGCGTGCCTCTAACTACCTTAACTCTGCCAGCAGAAGGCATGGCACCAGATGTGGTCTGGCTCCTTTTCTTCCAACCTACTCTGGCAATAGGCCTCTCAATGCAGACTGCCATCAAGAACTTCCGAATCTTACATGTCGACTACCCCAAGGTCAGCTACGCGAAGGGTTTCCATGGATACTGTAACGGCCTCATGGACTATGTGAGGGGAAGGCTGAAGGACTGGTACTGCCCTAAGATCCACTATGTGGTACACGCGCCCAGGGAAGGCATCGAGAAGTTCTGCAAATACAGCGAGAGCTTCTGTGAGAACTACAATGAGTATTGTACCCTCACTCAGGATGCGTTCCCGCTCACAATCTGCACCTTGGACCGTAAACAGCCACCGTCTAGCTGTAGCTACAACAGTACCCTGACCAACCAAAGGCTGTACTTGCTCTGCTCCCGCAAGCATGATGCTGAGCCAATTGGCATCATTGGCCTCTCCTAGGGACTCAGCTCCTGAACAGTCCCACCTAGTACGGCCCCTACATGCCACCCCAAAGCCTGTCCCCAGTCTCTGAGTCTAGCAGTGAGTCTTCCTCCCTGACTTCTGAAGCAGAGCCCCTCCCTCCTCTTTAGGCTCTTTTCACCTTCCCATCCCCCCACCTTGAGCCTCTCTCTCTCTCCCACCCAAGAAGCCGACTGTGTCCAGCTGGCCGTGCTTGTCTATACACTGGGCCAGATTCCGACTTCTGGATGGAGGCCCAGGCCCCAGCTCACACCATGGCAACAGGCACCCAGCTCCAGTACCTCTCCCTATCCCTGTTTTTAGTGTCAGCTCCGCCCCCACCCCCATCCCCGAAGCTCCCTGCTGTTTTCCTTATAATTCTTGCCACACTCTAGCAATAAGAACCTTCCTATGACCCTTGGGCCCATTTTGTCTCACTTCCTCAAAGCCCTCTCTGTCCCCAGCCTGTACTTCTCTGTGATTTCCCCTTTATATAACCTGTCCTTCCCTACCTCCTTCCACCACGGAGAATAGTGATGTTTTTTTTCCTACTTTCCCAACCACTGTTAGCCAAGCTGCCCACCTTTTCACAACCTCCGCCTTCCATTCCTCTCTCACCTTGGCCCAGAGGAATTTTAAATTATCCTTTCTGTTTTTTTTTTTTTCCCCCAAGGTCCCTCAGTCCCTCTTTCCTCCCTTATCTCTACCCAACATTTCCCAGACTCTAGGGAGTCTGTTTCACTCAGGTGGCAGAGGATGAGGCAGGCCCAGCTCCATCATGTAAAGTGTAAAAACCACTGGGGGAAATTGGGCAAAAGGTCCATGGGCGCCTTTCTGTAGTGACTTCTTATAAATCTGTGATCATTTCAAAATAAAAAGTTAAAAACACATTCAACTCAATTATGATTTGATTCCCTTCTGTGCTTTTGGTGTCCTGGTAATCACCTATCTCTGAACAACTTTCAGAACTACTCTTAGCAGTTGGAAATGTCTTCTGTTCTGTGGGCATGATGATGGAGGTAGGGCAGGTGAAAACCTTTAATGCCAGAAACTGGGAGGCAGAGGCAGGCAGATCTCTGTGAGTTCAAGGTCAGCCTGCTCTAGAATTTCAGGCCTCCAGAGCCAGCCAGGGATGCACAGTGATACTCCTGTCTCAAAAACCAAACAAACAAATAAAAAGATTCTCTTGTTTCCCAGCCTGAAAATAGATTTTTGATTTGTAATAGGTGTCAAGGCCTCCCTTCCTGGTTTTTATTTATCTCCCAAGAAACCCTGAATTCTAACAGATGAGGAAGTTAGGAGACACATTCAAGGGTCTAATCAATGATTATCTGGATCATGGTGTGCCAATCAGAAACTATGACTCCCTCTGGGGAGGCTACTGATGTGTAAACACAGTAAGCAAATATTTTTTCTTCTGCATCTGATTTAATTCCTCTCTCCAGATGTATTCTCCAGTCCTGTTCTCAGGAGCAGTTGCCAAGGAGACTACTACCTTATCACTGGTATGCATGAGGTTAGCAGGGTAAAGGTCCATGGCTGAAAACTCTGGCTCCTTGAGCTTTCTCTTCTCCCTTTCTCTACGGGCCAATCTGTTCCTCATACTCATGAGATGGAACTCCATGGATGCTGCACACACAATGTTTATTGTTATTTCCTGGTGTTAAAAACCCAGGGTCAGGAAACTAGCAGGCCATGGCTCCTCTCTACTTGCTTTTTTGGTCATAGGTGCCAGCACCCTTGTAGCCACTCACATAGCCTGAGTTGTCTGCGGTGTCTTCCCGTCCTTCGATGCCCTTCCCCTTGCCGCTCTCATCAAAGCGCTCCTTGTGGGTTCCAGTGTACTTACTGGTGTCTGTCAGCCGTTCTACTCCACCCACTGTTGTTGCTTTCTGCAAGGCAGAGAGTACGTCTGAGCCTACCTACCTTTCCCTGCTCTGTGGCAGCCCTTCTCCACATAGGGCCTGAGAGTCTCAGAACACAGGCGGAGAAAGTGCTGGCTGCCGCTTTCTGAGGCCCAGGCACTGCTGTGGGCAGGAAACTCTGCCTGAGCCATCTACTCTTGAAACTGCGGGAAAGGACAGTGGATTTTTCTGTATCCAGAGGAGTTACTCTGAGCAGGCTACTGCCAGAGGGGCTTCAGCCCCAAGCCTCACTCCTAGTGTGCGGAGCTGACAGTGGGAACAATTTAGGAAGGAGAGGGGTGAGAGAAAGGAGGTCTGAGATTAAGCCTGAATATATGGAGGAGGAGGGCTGGGAAAGCACCATGTCCTCCCATGCTAATGCGTCTCCAAAGCCACAGAAGACTGAGTTGTCAGGAGCAGACATAAGACGTAAGAACGAGTCTAAATTCTACTAACGACATTGCTGTTTGTGCCTTAGGGTGTAGCTGGGAGCTCCCACTGCACCTGGAGAAGGTCTCTCTCTCTCCTCTCTCTCTCTCTCTCTCTCTCTCTCTCTCTCTCTCTCTCTCCAGGTCCCTGCCCTTTCACCTCTGGAATGACTACAGGGCCCTAAAGTCTTCCGGCACAGGAAGCACACTGCAAGCCTTGCAACCTGGCTCCGGAGTTATACTGCTGACAGGATGTGGGGCATAGAAAGGGAGAAGGGAGCAGGGAACTGGAGTCATCTAGGGAAGTAGGGTTTGGGGCTGGCGCTGAAGAATGCTAGCCTTGAGGTCGGTGTGGTGGCACGCACCTACAGTCCTAGCACTTGGGAGGCTGAAGCATGAAGACCTTCAGTTCAAAACTAGCTAGGGTCACATAGCCAGTTCTAGGCTACTCTAAGCTAACAGGGTAAGATCCTGCTAGATAGACAGACAGACAGACAGACAGGAAGGAGGAAGGGAGGGAGGAGGAAGGGAGGAAGGGAGGAAGGGAGGAAGGAAGGAAGGAAGGAAGGAAGGAAGGAAGGAAGGAAGGAAGGAA